ACGTGAAGTGCCCCGGGGTGTGCGATTGTCTGCCTGGGCGTGCCGTGGGTGCCCCTCCGCCCGGCCCTTCCCCCTCCAAGGGGTCCAGGCGGTACCCCTTCCTCACAGCCCTGGCCGCAGCACGGCCCAAAGGGAGCTCGCAGGGCACTAGTCCACAGAGAGGAGGCCCAGGCCTCGAGGCAGGTGGGAAGGCGCCCATGAGGCGGCTGGGCACGGGCGGTGAACCTGGTTTAGGGCTTAGCGTTAACAGGCGGCTTGCTCAGCCACCAGCGTGGGTTGAAAGAGACGGGGGAGAGGCTTTTGTGTGCGTGCGTGTGTGTGTGTGTGTGTGGTGTGTGTGTTTATTAAGTCTTGGCTCCTGGCGCCCCTGCAGTTTTCTGTTTATCACGCCTGGCACAAGCGTCACGCAAGGCCAGCCATCCCACTCCAACCGTCTGCAGCTGCCAGCCGTGGCAGAAGCCATCTGGGGGACCCCCCCCAGCAATAGTGTCTGTGTGTGCCCCATCCTTGTGAGGGCACACATGCTCCCTCCCTTTCAGACACAGGAGGGGGGGGAGGACCCGGCTTCATCCGTATACGACGATGATTCAGCCCTGCCCAAACTGGCTAATTCACAAACCCCAATTCCCAGCTAGTAAGTCACTGAAGGCAGCAGCTTTAGCTAATAGTGTACCCTTGCAAGAGGTTCAGGTTTTTCTGATGCCCCCCCGGGAAAGGGCCCCCCAATCATTTTAACCAATAAATGGCCTGGCGCTCCCCAACCCCCAGATAGGCTCCAGTGTGCACGATGAGGACCCACAACAGGGTTTCCCCTCCGTGCCACGAATCATGCCCGGCCCAGCGCCAACAAGCAATGGGGCAGGCCCATTTGGGTGGGCCCCCCAGCTGCTTTTTCGACGCACTCTCGCTAGCCTTGCTCCTATGTTAACCACCCTGGTTTGGGCCACTTCGGCCCTCGCTTTTCGTCATTGGCCCAAAGTGCCAAGCCGAGCACCGGGACAAAGGCTGGGCGCAGAGTGCCGTGGAGCATGCAGGCAAGGTGTGCAGCGTGCAAAGCCTCCCAAAAGCACAGTGGTGCCTGAGGTTTGTGCTTTGCACCTCCACCCAGTGGGAGCAAAGTGCGACCAGCCTGCCTCGAACAGCTCACGGGTTGCTTCTCGAGGCCCCGATTCCACGGTCGGAAGCCTGTGTTGAATTGCACGCCTGGCCGTTTATTCAGATTATAAGTCCCGGGCACTGATGAGCAGATCTAATTGCAGCTTCTCTTTCTCCCCCCTCCTGCTCCTTTTCTGTCTACTCCACAGCTGGAAACGACAGCCAGGCTCGAATCTCTCTCTCTCTCTGCGGCTGCAAAATGTCCTTCATCTAAATGTAAATGCGGCCTCCTTTCCGCCGGCTGGCCCTTGCTCCCCACTCCCCCCCCCCGGGGGAAGATAGAAGGTAATCAATTTCTATTCATCTCAACCCCAGGCTTTGTCTTAATTCCGATTCACGGAGGGCAGATGTTTCACTGGTCCTGGGTGGGAGGGGGCGGCAGGCCGCCATCCCGGGGAGGAAAACGGCATAAAGAAGGCCGGGTTTAAACACAAAAGATTTGGGAAGATTTCCGAATTGTAGAGCAGCTCTACGGTGGAACAGTCACCTAAGGCAGGGTTCCTCAACCTTGGAGACGTGAAGATGGGTGGACTACAACTCCCAGAATTCCCC